TGAGCTTCCTTGCAGTGTTATTTGCTGTCTGCTGGCATGCAATGCCTGGAGACATTAAACTGGCATTGAACTTTTCTTCCACACTAGCAAGGAGGTTTCCAGGAGGTTTCCCAGTGAACTACCAAATACTAACTGGTACTGATCGGGCGTGACAAGGAACTAACCTAGCAATAGTCCAACTTCTGTACCTTTTGCGTGAAGATCAAAAACCTTTCTTCGAAATTGCTGCGTTTAAGGATTAAATCCTTACTGGCTGGTTGTTCCCCTCCGTTTCTCAAATTTGAACCATGTCTCATAAATCGCAGTTCCACTGTGATGAACATAAATTACATAAAACTGCAGTACTAGATAAAAATCTTCTAGCTCTTAGTTGTGTCTCTGCCCCAAACTGGACACACATTCCAGATACGGTGTCACAGGTGCTGAAGGGAGCAAGACAAATCGCTTTCCTTGACCTGCTGGCCACATTTTTGAGAGTAAAGACCAGTCCTTGCTTGGTCTCCCTTGCTCGAAGACACGTTGTGAACTCAGGTTCAATTGCTCTGAGTATAGTGTGAGGAACGGAGTCTCAAGTGAGCTGGAAGTATTCTGGGTTGCACTTGTACGTATGCCACCAACTTGTCCTTCCCCTCTAAGAAATGGGATCTTCTAGATTTTTGAACGGGAAGCAGTGCTTGAGGGCTGCTGGTCACTGCTAGCAATGTCTTGTGCTTTACTTGAGCAAATATAGCGTCAATCCAATGTGGAGCCTTACTTTGAACTCCTGTCTCCATCCAGTGTTTTCTGGGTTAGTTTACTGCCACTGGCAAACTGGACTTGGGCATTAAGAACGAACCTCTAAAACTAACATGACTAGCTTCATAGGTTTGTCATTACAGGACCCTGAGCTTTTGCATTCACAGATGTCATCCAGCAGCAAATGATCTGTCTTTCCCTAACAAATAGCCTTTGTTTCTGCTCTCCTTCCACAATTTCTTTCCTCAGCTTGTAGGTGAGGAAATCCATTCCAGAGCCCTTTAATCCAGCTTCTAAGTTAATACTGTTTCTTGGAGGTCTGTATTGCTAGGATGTAAGAACAGATTTTTCAGTTGTGTCACTTCTTGTTTTTATTCTGGGTGAAAAAAAAAAAGAATATTTCAAAGCTGCTATTTCTATAGCATACACTACTGTTGTAAACTGTAGCTTGCAACGGAGCCAGTTGTCATGCTGCAAAATACAATTACACTACAAGGTCAGCGGGAGTGCTGGAACTGGTAGGGTTGGGCAGGGATGTTTTTCTGGCATCTTGGTCTATATCTGATGCAAACACAGCTGTGACTTGGTGTTGGAGCATCTCCCTGTACACAACAGTCTCGCAGCAGTTTGTTACTAGTTGTTGTCTTTGTTGGCTGCATTATATGCAGGACAGAGTACGAGCTTGTTCACACAGGAGTGTGCACATATATATAGTAATCAAAAGTGGAAAGCATCTAGCTGCGAGGATCTCTGTTAGATTCAGTCTTTTATGAAGCAGTAATACGACCATGAACGTTTTACCTTGGACCGAGCAAGGCGTTTTGAAAAATACCAGCTTTTCTTGGAGCACTATATTTAAATTCCAAAATTTTAATCGACCTGAATTTTAACCTTTGTATTTATGATATCTTTGGAAAATTCTTTTGATACCTTTCCAGTTTATTGACCCTGAATTAAAACCTTTTGGAATGTGTGGCTGGACCTCTCCTCATATGTCACTTTATATCCAGAGCTGGGGGTAGCCTCACCAAGCCTACCCCTTCACTCACAAGGTAGAAAAAACCATTGACAATTCATGGGTGGCAGCTAAGGAAGAAACCTTTTAAATATTTTTTTTTTCAGAGATTATTAAATTAGCTCTGTGTAAACATAAATTTTATATTTATTAATGCGTGTGCGTGTGTAAATACAGATATATAAATGGTCCATGACTATTTCTTTCTCTTAAATGGTACTTTACACAGACGTTTTATACAGTTTGTCGGTAAATTCCCACACCAGGTGCTGAGCCTAAAAAAAAAAAAAAAAAAAAGAAAAATATATCTATTTACCTATTTTTGTAAGAAATACAGGCAGCCTGCGGGAGCAGCTCTGCTCCAGCGATTGCTCTCATTCCTCTCAGCAGAGGAGCCCGCTTGGCACTTGCATCCTCCTTGTGCCTCATATTGGCAGAGAACTCCCCAAAACGTCTCTGACGAGGGCCAGGATCCTCCTTAGTCTCGGACTATCTCTAGATGCAGAGCCTGGAAGCCCGGGACTGGTTCTGCACTAAGAAGCAGGACCTGGTTTCTAACCCAGATTAACTGCGGGTCCGTGAGGGTGCTGGAAGGCTGAGGAGCTGCTCCCTGTGTCTCTATCAGGTGGGTAAGCGAGCACTGGGGCACTATGAAATAGTGTCTTTTCCTCTGTGGTGACATTGTGTTCCTTTTACAATTCTTCACTCTCTCTTTATGGGGCTAGAGATGTAAATACCCCTTTAAAAACAAATATATAAGCTTTTTTTTCTAATATTCCCATTCAGAGAGTGAATTTTACCTTAGTCGGTCAAATTTCAGGCCTGGTTTAACTCCATGTGGGTTACTGCGTCTGCAGGGCGTTTTGACCCACTTGGGCCTTGGGGGAATTATTCATAAAAGCAGATTATATTCACCTTTCTAATCCTAAGAGCTCTCTTAAAAATAATATAAACAGTCAGATTGTGGTTTTCTGCAAGGGCCACAGTGAGTGTTTTTCCCGCGTTTCTGATGAATGTCTGGCGTTCGGGTTTATCCCCAAGGGAGGACAGGGCTGGAGATAAGGGGAGTAGCTGTAACAGACCCAGTGAAAGGAAATAACTTTCCTCCTCAGCACAAAAAAAATAAAATCCCTTGGGAAAACCAGGCTTCCCATGGGATTCTCCTGCTGCTTCGTGTCTGCACCGAGTTATACAGGGGCAGCATCCTGGCACCTTATCCATGGTCTGAACTGCTCCGCCTCGCGTCTGCCCCACTCAGTTCTGGTCAGAGCAGTCCAAAGCAAACCCTTGCTTAGAGATAAGGGCGATGCTGAGGAGAAACATCTGATATCCAAAAAAAAGAGATTTTAATTGAGCGGAAAAGATGAGGTTTCCTTCTGTTTCATTACCTTGCTGCTAAAGTCTGGTGCAGAACATGCTGATGTTTCACGTGCTGCTCGTCGGATGCAGACAGGCTGCTCCGCAGGCTCTATAGCATGTGAACTGCTGTGA